ATTTGTCTTGTTCACCACTATATCGCCATTGCCTAGTGCACACAGGCCCAGAGTAGGGGCTGGCTCAAAAATAATTACTGAATGAATGTTGTCTTAAATTCTCACATATCCTTAGAATAAACCTCAATCAATGAAGGTAATTTGTGTACTTGTGACCAAAATAGTCATCATGAAAACTTCCCCAAGAACCTACAATCATCATTTTTAAAAACAAAAACAAGACACTTGATCATAAGAAAGAGCCCTCCTGGGCCCACCAACCAAGACCACAGAGTATCATTCTTTTCCATATTAGTAGGTGGAGGTCAAGCTCCCTGATACCACAGTGTTATAACCATCAATTTAGCCTGTAAAGAAGGGTTCCCAATCCTGATAGGAATTCTCAGATTTCAGCCTGTTTTTCTCTCATCATTATTTTCCAATGTCTTAAAAAACCACATTTCTCATTTTCTCTTTACCACAAAACCTGGTCACACTCTGCTGTGGTTTCTAAGTTACAGCTACTCCAGCCTCATTTTCTTGGATGTACTTCTTCAGAGGTCCTGACCCGGTGCTGACACTCGGTCTATTCTTAGAGTGGCACCTCTAAATATTAATTCCTGTTACCTTCCACTGATTGAAAGACAACATTCAGAAGTCGAGGTTGCATACAACATAAAAGAAAATCCTCTGGGATTTAGAATCCTTCTTTCAAGAGTACCCAGAGGAATATGATCTAAAGAGCTCATAGTCTTGCAGACACACACGCATAGTACAGCTTAGCTACTCATGTCTTATAGCTTATCCAGATTTGCCGGAACAATCATAGGTTTGTTGGAAAACACTAACAGCCGAGGAGTGACAGCACAGGTGAGAGGGCAAGCAGACCCAGAAGAGAAAATCAACAGAAAAGCCTTCCACAAACAAGAGTACCTCTCTATTTGTTTAAAGGTAAATCTTCCATCATTAAATATATGAAAATCTTTCCCCAATTGATATGGTTCAGTTGGTGGCAACATCATCCCGTGCACCAAAGAGTCTCGGGTTGATTCCCAGTCAGGGTACATACCCAGCTTGCGGGTTTGGAGTGCATATGGGAGGCACCTGCTCAATGTTTCTCTCTCCCACTGATGTTTCTCTCTCTCTCCCCGCCCCCTTCCTCTCTCCCTCTCTTCCTGTCTCTCTCTCTCTCTCTCCAATAAAAAACATATCCTCGGGTGAGAATTGAAAAAAAAAAAAAAAAGGGTATTGCCCCAGCCAATTTGGCTTAGTGAATAAAAGGTTAGCCTGCTAACTAAAGGGTCCCAGGTTCCATTTCCGTTAAGGGCATGTACCTAGGCAGGCTCCTCCCTAGCCCGGGCCCAGGTGAGGGCTTGTGTAGGAAACAACCAATCGATGTGTTTCTCTCACATTGATATTTCTCTCTCTTCCGCTCTCCTTAAAAATCAATAGAAAAATGTCCTCGACTGAGGATTAACAAAACAAAACAAAAAAGAGTACGAAAATCTCAGTGTGTGAACTTGAAACTGAGAGATAGAAGTGTTTGGTTAACATATTTTTAAAAAGTGTTTCCTATTGTGTAGAATCAGCTCCAGCTGTATCCCCCAATACTAAATATTAAAACGGCAATGAACTAAAGTCACCAGATAAGACTATGTAATAGTTTATAAGGGAAAATTAAAATAATTTAGAAAGTATAGCTAGAAGAGACCTCAAAATTAGTTAGGCCTCCAGCAAGATTAGGCAGTATAGTGACTGGGAGACAGTAGAGAATACTACTTTTATAATACCACAAACAGGACTTGATCCTAACTCTGTCTCTTACTCGCTTGTGAACTTAAAAAGCTATTTTAACCTTCCTGAGTTTGTTTCCTCATCTATAAAATAGAGATAATAATGGTTCAAAGAATCATAGTGGCTGAGATGTAGCATGAGTTTAATAAAAAAAATGTTTATTATAAAATATAATGACTATATTATTATTGTCGTGTAAGGCTTTATTATATCCATTTCCTAGATGAAGTAACTAAAGCTCAGAAAATTTCAGAAATTTGACAAAGATTATAAAGCGAGGACTTATAAGAATAAGGATCTCTGCTTCCTAGGGCAGTGTTCTTTTCACTTCATCATGTTTCTATGAATCAATATAATAAGGAGGCCTACAAAAGAAGGCTTTTCACTAAATAAAATTCACAAATGAAAGCAAAATCGTAACCTCTACTGATCCAGGTCTTGTCCACAAAATACTAATTCCTATTCCAGCAGGCTTCCACATCTTTCAAGTTTTGTTGTTGTTTTTTAAGGATTTTGGAACTTTGATAGTTGTTCACTTCCCAAAATAACTTAGCTCAGGCCAATATGGTATCTCAGAGTTACAGAAGTCTCAGGTATGTGCCATTCACATACATTATGTAGTTTCAGTTTCCTGAAGACAAGAAACAGATCACTCGGCAACTAGCTTTCCATCACACTGTGGAAAATCTTGAGTCTTTCAACAGTTTATTGGCAGATAAAAGCTACAATCAATAGCATCTGAAGGCTGTAAGTTTCAGCACTGACTCTCCAGAGTTCAGGCTCAGTTACATAGACCAGTAGGCTCACTTTTGAGTGCTATACACATGGTATGCAGCTTCTTAAATGACAAATATAGAGCTTTATAAAAAAGAATCAGCCCTGATAGGTTTGGCTCAGTGGATAGAGCATCGGTCTAGGGACTGAAGGGTCCCGGGTTCGATTCTGGTCAAGGGCATGTACCTTGGTTGCAGGCGCAACTGGGGATGCGCCAGAGGCAGCTTATAGATGTTTCTCTCTCACAGATGTTTCTGACTTCTATCCCTCTCCCATCCTCTCTGTAAAAAAATCAATAAAATATTTATTAAAAAGAAAAAGAAAAAAAAAGAATCAACAGCTCGTTGGCATGGCTTGATGGTTGAGCATCAATCTATGGACCAGGAGATGGCGATTCGATTCCCAGTCAGGGCACATGCCCAGGTTGCAAGTTCAGTCCCTAGTATGAAATGTGCAGGAGGCAGCTAATCAATGATTATCTCTCATCATTGATGTTTCTCTCTCTCTTTCTCCCTTCCTCTCTGAAATCATAAAAAATAAATAAAAATAAAAAAGAATCAACAAAAAAGAAAAATGAGATATTCTTTATTTTTAACAAGATCAAGAATAAGAGTATAATATGCAATAACAAACTATAGATATAGCTGTTGATTCAACATGTACCAATATCTATTAGTTGCTAAGCATTGTGGTAGGCACTAGGAATACAAAGGTGAAGAAGAAATTATGCCTACCCTCAAGGAACCAGTATAACAGGGAAAAGACTTATAAAGGAGATGAGGGTTGGGGAGTACATTTTTAAAAAAAAAAAAGAAAGAAAAAAGGAAGAAGCATTGCCCCAGAAGAATCATATTTCACTTGGCAAGGAGCCTTAAGGGTGCCGGTACAGATTAAATGGCCTAGAAACTTAACTCCTAGGCTTGTCAGTTCTGTAAAAGCAAGCAAGACTATTCAATCTTAGTCTTTATTCCCTGCCCACCTCCTTTGCTTACCACATCATGAGAACAATTGAGATTTCCTTTCTCTATTTTATCCTCCTTAGAAGACTGGGAAAGGGACTGGCTCTGCTCCTGGAAAGCCTGTTTTTCCCAGAAATGAAATTTCAATCCATGAGAAATCTAGATTTTACTTGTGAAACCTATTATTCAGCAGAAGAGTTTGGGAGAGTCAAGAATTCCCCTAGCCTGGCTAGAGTGGCTCAGTTGATTGTCCATCGTCCTGTGCACTGCAAGGTTGCTGGTTCGATCCCCGGTCAGGGCACATACATAAGGCAACCGATCTATATTTCTCTCTCTCTCTCTCTCTCCTTCCTTCCCTCCCTCCCTCCCTCCCTCCTCCTCACTTCCTCTCTCCAAGGTAGTCCTAACAACACACCATTAGAATAGTTGTCTGATTTCCAAGGAACCTCTGGAGAAAAGAAAGAAAAAATCTGTTTTCAGGAAGAGTTCATGATTCATCTTAAATAGAAACCTGTAAGAGGTAATTCTTCCTTTCTCAGAATGCTCCCAAAAAATTAGAACAAAAGGAAAGAGACTTCAAATGATTATATAAATATATAATGTCATATCAGTAATAAATATAATGCTTTGTATTTCTTTAGCAAATCCTTTCATGATGACCAAACAGTTTTAAAGTGATTACCCGATTCAGAGTAAAAACATTATCGATGCTAAAAAAAAAAAAAAAATAGCAAGGCCAGGGAGTGTTGGAGGGTGGTAAGAGATCAACCAAAAGACTTGTATGCATGCATATAAGCATAACCAATGGATACAAGACACTGCAGAGTAGGGGAGCCCGGGGGGAAGGTCAAGGGGGGAAAAAAAAGGAGACATATGTAATGCTCTTTGTAATACTTTAAGCAATAAAACAAAATCTAAAAAAAAAAAAAAAACACAATGAGCTATCAAAAAAATAGCAATCATTTTGACTTTTACATACTCCAAGCACTCTATACAAAGAAGTATAACCCTTCAAAGATATAATCTATGATGTCCTGCCTTTAGAAATACTCTTAAATCATTACGTGATTGAGACAGCATCCTATAGAAAGAAAACTGCAAGGGAACAGGATCCTAAACATTTCAATGAAAAATCCAGCCATGAAAAACACAGGCTAAAGGTACACTTACTAAAGGAAATCAGAGTGAATATCTTGAATTACGTAGAAGGTTAAAAATTATAAGAGGGACCTAAAGAAACAGACCTAATAAATCAAACAAGCAGTTGCTGAGCTTCTGCAGTCATGACCATCATGAAACTTATCACTGGACAAAACTAGTTGCTCCAAGGGCATGTTCCAAAACATGTTTGGGCAGCCCTGGACCAGCTACCAAAACTGAGCATTCACAGCCACCTCATAATCAGCCTTGTCCTGCTCTCTTCTTCATGCACCTTGCCTGCTTCCAAGTGCCTCCTCTGGGCTCACCCTATTGGCAAAGCATTCACGTACTTACTATTCAGTGAAGAACCTGGCAATACCATATTGGCTAACATCTTCCTTATTTTCTAGCAGCTGGCACACTGCATCCTCCATGTACGTGAGGACATGTCGCTGAGCTGCCAAAAAAAACAAAAGAGAGAAAAGTGAGAGAGAAAAGTAAAAAATAAAAGTCCCCCCAATCCAAATAGGAGGCCATGAAAGTCAGTCAAGATATTGCCTCTACCCTAGGAAATGGATTGAAATAGGCCAACAAGTTTAACGGACCAATGGTTCCAAAGGGTAGAATTGGACATGATGTAGCACATGACATACTGCCATCTGGTTGGCTGTTAGTATTTACATCAACGCTTCATTTCAGTGATGAGGGAGAGCTATAGAGGAACTTTAGCACCATTAAGCAGATATATCTGGAAGTTCTTTTCTTCCCATTTCCTTCCACCCTCTTTCATTTTCTGTATGTCTCCAAACTTATTCCAGGGAAGAGTGCCTAAAGCATAAATGATCTGATTACAAAGAAAATTCCTTTTTTTTCCCTTTTCTTTTCTCCTCACCTGAGGATATTTTTCCATTGATTTTTAGAGAGAGTGGGGGGGGCGGGGAGAGAGAGAGAGAGAGAGAGAGAGAGAGGTGGTGGGGGGGGAGAGAGAGAGAGAGAGAGAGAGAGAGAGAGAGAAATATCAACGTGAGAGAAACACATCAATTGGTTGCCTCCTGCACACGCCCTGACCACGACCCAGGCGGGGGAGGAGCTTGCAGCTGAGGTACTTGCCCTAGACAGGAATTAAACCTAGGATCCTTTGGTCCAGAGGCTGATGCTCTATCCACTGAACCAAACTGGCTAGGGCAAGAAAACTCAGTTCTTTAATAAAAAATGAGAAAAGTTTAAGGATCATGTAAACTAGTGTTATAAACTATTAACCTTGGAAAATAATAAATGAAATCTGTGTGGCTCAATTTATCAGAAGTTATGTTTTCTGCATTTATTGTGACTGTTAAATATGCAGATTAATTATGGGCTTCTCAGAAAGGGTCTGAGTATTAAAATTAGAAAGAAATGTGTTTTGATTCATGGCTCTGTCTTTGGTAGATTAATCTTAGTTATTTAATCTGCACCTATGTGGAAAGAAACAACTTTTTTTCAAAATACGGTCAATCAACTTGTTGATCTGAAACATCTGAGACACCCTGTTAAATGCAGATTTATAAGCTGGCACCATCCCAGACTTAGTGACCTTATATTTCTAACTGAAGCCCAGTAATTTTTAAAAAGTACCCATGATGCTTTTTATATATGGTGAAGTTTAAGAATTACTGGTTAAGCCCAGCCAGCATGGGTCAGTGGTTGAGCATCGACCTATGAGCCAGAAGGTCACGGTTTGATTCTCAGTCAGGTCACATACCTGGGTTGCAGGCTCCCAGTGTGGGGCGTGTAGGAGGCAGGCGATCAATGATTCTCCCTCATCACTCTTTCTCTCCTTCTCCCTTCCTCTCTAAAATCAATAAAAATATTTTTTTTTTAAAAAGAATCACTGGTTAAAAACATGGGTTTTGGAGTTTAGAGAGACCTGAGTTCCATTTTTGGCTCTACCAATTCCTAGCTGTATGATCTTGAGCAAGTTACTCTCCAAGCCTATTTCCTCATGTAAAAAGTGGAGAATAATACTATTACTGTAATGACAATATTATTAGTACCTACACATCATCTACTTATATAAAAACCATGGATGGTGTTCATCACATACAGACGAAGAGTTGCAACCGAGCGGAAGGAAATCAGTCCTATAGGGGTTGTCTTGGCAACAGCTGCGCCCTCCCCCAAGCTGTTTCCCGGAGCTGTTTCCTGTAAGGGCAGAGTTTGAGGCAGGAACCCACCCTGGGAGCGTAGAGGCAGATCTTTCTAAAGTGTGCCACGCCAGCACGGGGTGAACCTGAGTGGGGCGGCTGAAAGGCTTAGAAAAGACAGGCAAGAGAATGAAAGCCAGGTCTCGGTGGGATGCTGCTTCTCTGAGAGACAGTGACCGTGCCCACAGCCATGCCTTTATTTTATAGCAGATGCTACAAGGCAAAGTAAGGGCGTGACCAAGATGTTTACAACATTCTCCTGGGTTTCAATCCTACTCAACTACATGCACCTGAACTCTATCAAGCGTACATCACTCAGGCACGTGGGGCCATGTGCTCTGACTTACATAGGATCAAGCTTACAACTACAGCTGTTGGCTATAATTGTGCTGTGAGGGCCCTGCCCTCCAAGCTGGGACTTGCACGTGGCCATGAGAGGACTGTGCCCTCTCATCAGTCTGAGGCTTGAACCTGTCCAAACCCTGTAGCCACTCTCCACAATAAACTATGGCCAAGAGACTCGGAGTTTGAAAACCAACATAAATA